CCCTCCCCACGCATCCTCTCCCGTCATCCTCCTTCTCTTCCCTCCGCCTCCCATCCCCCTCTCCCTCCTGCCATCCCCCTCGCATCCTCCTCTCCCTCCTCCTCCTCCCCTCCCTCCACCGCTATCCTCTCTCCCTCTTCTTCTCCACCCTCCCCCCATCAGCATCCTTCTCCCTCCTCCCCTCTCTCCTCCGCATCCTCTTTCCCTCCTCCTCCTCCACCACCCATCCCCCGTTCTCCGTCCCCCTCCTCCTCCGCTCCTCCCCCGTCCTCCCCCCCCCCCTCCGCATCCATCTCCGTCTCCTCCTCCTCCCCGTCTCCGCCTCCTCCTCCGCCTCACTATCCCCCTGCCTCCCTCCTCCTCCTCTCGGTCTCCCCATCCTCATCTCCGTCTCCTCCTCTCCTCCTCCTCTCTAGCCCCCCCTCAACTCAGCTTCGGTTACGCCCATGTCCACCGCCACGCCTCTCTCGCTCCCCGCGTGCCGTCGCCCCCCCCCCCCAGCGAGAGCCGCGGTCGCCCGAGTCCGGTAATTGATTCCCGGGGAGGGCACGAGGACATACCACGCCGTCGAGAGTATACAGATGTACACTGTAATATTCAAGGCCGTTTGGTGTGTGCACTACGGCCAGCTGTGTTTAAGCGAAGAGTGGAGTCAATCTTATGAATTCTGAATTGCGTTGTGTTCGGTGGCTTTTAGACTAGATTAAAAGTCGCTTATGAAAAGAATGCCTTTTAACTGGTCAACTTCCATTATCTTGATACTTAGTGTAATGATTTAATTTCAAAGAACCAATTTGCAATCAAAAATTAAAGATAAAAGATTGTATTGTTGATGTACAAATGAAAAATTTGAAAGAAATATCAACCGAACATTGCCAGGATGCAAAGGAACAAGGTACGATGACAATGTATTGATGAGCATTAAACAGACCTTAAGTTGGAAATGTAATCATACGAAATTATTTTAATAGTTTTTGTGAAATTATCTTAAGTATTTTCATCATGATACAATGCGTTGTTTCAATTTTTTTTAATTTCCTAGAAAAATCTTTATTGAAATTATTCCAGTGTGCCCCTGCAGGACATCGGTCTTCAGTTTTTAGTCCTTTACAATGAATTTCAATGGTTTTGATGTAGAAAAGTCCAGAATTAGTTTACAAGAGTGAACGAAATAAGAGTAGTTACGTATTACTGCAATAAGAAAATCTTTATTCGTTTATTTATTAGTATCAAATGTTTATTATTAAAAACATCACTGACATCGGCAGGGAACAAAAGCTGTGTTGACTGCACTGAAGAGAAACGAGTGACTCTCCCGATATTTGGTCCATGATTAGCGGGAAAGAAGACGCAAACTTTTAATAGAATTGGATCTTAAACCTTCAAAATCTGTTTAAAAGCTAAATTGTAAAGGCATAATTATATTTCTGTCTCTTTAAACCTTAATAACCATGTTGTTTGTATTGTAAATGTTCTGTTTTCACCGAAAATGGAGCTTTTAATGCATATTCGGCCAAATGATCATTTTTTTGCTTAATGTTTCTTTTTTTCTTTCTAAATACATTCTGAGCTCAACGTCATATTTAAAATGGACTGAACTTTCCCGGGGCGACCGCTAGTCCGCGCTGCAGGCGCCTCCACGGGACCGATGGACTCTGTAAGCCAATAATCATCGAAGCCATCGGTACACCCGTCATTGGTCGTTACCTGGAACCGGTCTCAATCTCACCCTATCATCGCCGAAACCCTTTCCCACGTCATCCTGTCGCGGGAAATGAAAATCTAACGAGCATGCAAAGCGCGCGAAGCGACGCCACGACCGATTATCGATTAGTCGAAAACCGCTCTCGCGACCACGTAATGCGCGAAACATGGCACCGCTGGGTAGCAAGCGAGCGAATTGTTATTCCCCGCCGTCCTCGCGTTGTTGGTTGCGGTTACTCGTGCGGCATTTGTTTGCTTTTGGTCGGAGAGGTTTTTCCTTCGTCGTTCGACGTAAGAGGAGCTTAAAGGGACTTGCGGCGGTTTCATCACTGATGGATTCAACGTTCTAGCGGATTTGCCGTTATCTAAAAACTCTGGCTGCTGAAAATTGGGATGAGGGCGTATGGTGAATATTTTAGCATCTCCGTAATAGCTTTACTAGACCACGTACAAGTCCATATTTTTTTTTAAATAATTTCCTAATTTTCACATTTTTCAATAGGAGCAACAAGTTTTGATGGCATCACAAAAAAGCTCGAGGTTTGAGAAATAAATGTATCAACTTATCGTAATTGTTTTCTGCTTCAACTTGGAAAATATTTCTCGTGGTTCTGTTTTGCTTTTTATTATTCACGTAAAATTTGTGCCTGTAGCCAGCTGAACTTCGTGTATTCCAATCGTATATTTTTTGTTTTCCCACGCTTTTGCCTTGTTACTCAAATGGTAATGTGACATGGAAATTAAACAACGCCAGTTTCAGAATTCTTTTGTGATCTCACTAAAAGTATATTACATACTTATTTTTGTTTTGTGCGAACAAACTGGGTTGTGAAAGGGAACATAACCAACCAATGACAATTTTGTTAACGAAAATACAAAGGAATCAGGAAATGTTCATTTTTTTCTTTCTATGATGCTTTTACAATCGAAGTCATTAACCGCCAGAAATCCGACGATCTCCATTTCACATATAAAGCTGAATATTCTCCTTTAGTATTTGTCGTACTAGTGACCATGTGAAGTGGGGTAGGCATATCACCGTGTTTTTTTTTTTTATTAGGTCAAAGACATCATTGAGCTTTTACAAGACGCTTTTTTTTAAATTTGCCTAATTAAATTTTGCTTTGATTAAATTTGCTCGATTAAATTTTATTTCGAGAGCTTTGGCTGTGGGAGGAAGACGGCTCTTTAGTTGCGAGTTTTCAGATGTTTTCGACTTCATCTAATGAAAGTTTCTCTTTTAATCTTTTACATTATTTTCTTACTGTAGAGAAGAATCACTGTATGTTCATAAAGAATTGATCGTTGATTAACTTAAATATGAATAACATTATTGTATCCGTTAAATAATGTTGCTCATTATGAAATTATTTTCGTAAATTTTAACCACGTAAATTTCGTTCAATATGTAATAATGTTTCCGTTTGCTTGTGTTTCAGCTCCCAACTTCGTGAGCTCCATGACGCAGGGAGATTTCGTCTACTTCTTCTTCCGAGAAACTGCAGTGGAGTACATCAATTGTGGAAAGGTATGGCGCCTTAACCAAACAAAACTTCTCGACACATGTGAAAACTTTAGTGTTTTTGGGGGGGGGGAGATTCAAGTTAAATCATTCTCTACAGAGGAACCAGTAAAAAGGGGAATTAAAGTTGACATAAAAATTCCTATTCTTACTTCAATCGTAATACGTCGATGTGGAAAATACTTTGGAATTTCAAAGTTTTTTCTTTATTCTTGCGCCCAAAAAATACTACTAATTTTGGAATATTTGTTTAGGTTGACAATTTTTTTAAAAATATTTGTAGGCTCCAAACAAAGAGTCATAATTAGTTATTACGACACAATATACTCAAAACGAGAGTTATTACGACACAAAATACTCAAAAATACAAACGTTAGTTTTCCCTCTTTTCCTCAAAGCAATTATTAAAAAAATATCTACATTTATTTTTTTGCAGTTAGGCAATTATTACCCTTGTTTTGACATTATAGTCATATAATCGCGTGGACACTTCATTAAATATATATTTTTTTAACTTTCATCCCTCTCCAGACTGAAAGGCCCCACGGTTCGGAAGAGCAACTCTGTCGCGTCGAGGACGTCTCGTAGAGACGTAAAGCGAGGGCGGCTTTAGTCTAATGACTGAATGTTCCACGCGTCGCCAGGAGACCTATTTCTCTCGCGTCACTCGCGAGTGTTTTGTAAAAAACCGGCTATTCGCGTGGAATGAGGGTCGTTACCGCCGACAAATGAACTTTTGCGAGCGCGCACGCGGTGCCAACTTTGCGGTTCGCTCTCCTTACGACTCGATGGCAGGAGCGCGAGCAGGGGTTTCGTCTGGCATGCATACAGCGTGTGAGGCGTTTGAAAAAAGGGAAGAGGGTTTTTCTTTTTCGGGACACTTGAGAGTTGAGGGAAAAGGCATATGACATACTTGGAGGAATCTTATAACATATAATAGTGCCCATAACATAGACTGAATTAAACCCTATTTGTTTCGAAAGATGTATGCGTATTGGTTATGCATTCATCCAGGCGGTATCCTTAACTATTTTCCGAAATCATTACAGAATTAAAAAATATTTGTCTTTAATTATAAGACAAATATAAAAATTATTTGTCGTATTATTAAAGACAAATATTTTTACAATAATTCTGTAATGATTTCTAAAATTCTCTTTTCATTAACCTTATTGGATTTTTCGTAATGAAGGTGGATAAAGGTGCTCTGAAATCTTGAAGCGTCTGAATGAGAAATCAAGTTTGTATTATGCAGAAAATCGAAACTACCCAAAATGTTTCGGGTCGTTCACAACTTATGCTTTAAGACTTATGAAGTGGGAAGTTTACAAATTCTGGAATCACATACATTACTCACTGTAAACCCAGAGTTGAAGTCTCTTGAAGAAGGTCTTGTCTCAATTAAGCGACGTAATGAAAAAATGACGGCAGATAAATGATCATTTTGTTAATTGTACGATTTTATTAAAATTTAGAGTTTATACTAGAAAAATAATTAATAATAACAAACATTAACACATCTGTTATCTTTCATTTAAAACATAAAGAACGAAATTTGGTTGAGTAGAAAGCTCAAATTTGTTTCTAAACAAAGACCCTGACTTTTAAATACAGAGAAAAACACGTCTTTCAAACATTTGAAGACCACGAAATTCCTTCGCATCATAACGCCACAATAGTTCGTACGTTTCCGGTAGGTGCTGTAGTTTCTCCGCAGTAACTTGAAGTCCGTCGCGGGCCCAGCTGCAGAGGCGCCGCGTCGCGGAGCGAGCACGTGACTGGCGCCCATCAGGCGCCCGCCCGCCGCCCAATTGCCGTGTTTGGGGCGTAATTTGCGGAAGAAAAAATCCGCTTTCTCACACAGACGATTAACTCCGGTTTGGTTTTTTTCGGTGCGCTCGCGCCGGGAAATGGCTGAGTGGCGCGTCGTCTCCGCCTCCCTCGCCTCCTCCGTCGTCCCGTCTCCTTGGCCCGCCTCGGGGCGTCTGGTGGCGACTGGCACGGAAATCCACGCTCTGTGAGAGGGAGGGAGAAAGGGGGGGAGAGAGAGAAAGAGAGGGAGGGATAGGGAAAGAGAGAGGGAGGGATAGGGAAAGAGAGAGGGAGGGAAAGAAAAGAGAGGGAAGAGATAGAGAGAGGGAAAGAAAGACATGAGGAAGATAAGAGAGAGGGGGAGAATAGAGAGAGGGGAGGGAGAGATACAAGGAGAGAAGAGAGAGAGAGAGAGAGAGAGGGAGGGAAGATAGAGCAGAGGGAGGAAGAGATAGGAAAAGAGAGGAGGGAGGGAGAAGATAGAAGAGGAAGGAGAGAAGAGAGGGAGGAAGAGAAGAGAGATAGAGAAGAGAGGGAGAGAGAAAAGAGAGAGGAGAGCAGAGAAAGAGCAGAGCGAGAAAGAGTGAAACAGAGTCGCACTCTTGTCTTTGTAGGTGTGGGTCGCGCGGTGTTGCATGCCATTTTCACGGCGTGGTTTTAGTTATTATTTATATATTTAAAGTGAAAAATTAGTTAAAAGGTGCGTGTAACTTGTGGGGGAAGTGTAAGTTGCTGAAACGGCATCTGCGCTGTACCAATACCTAAAGACGGACTTCCGCTTAGGCAAACTAGACAGCTGCGTAGGGAGCCAACCGCAGACGGAGCTCTAGAGGATAGTTACATATTGATAATAGGGGTCCGAATTAATTTTCAATCAAAAACTTTTTTAGTTCATAAATATTATTGGAAATTTTTATATATATTGCAACTAATTGCTGTGAAAAACAATCGGCTTAAGCTTATAATTTTTCTTATAGGTTGCGACATCGTTCCATTACGTTGTGTTATAAATTCAGAAGGGAAAGGTCTTGAGTATAGTTCTATTTTTACAGTAAATGTGTGTGCATGTGATATATAATGGTGTTTCTGAAGATGATTTTGAAATATTTTTGAATTTTCTTTTCTCGAATTGTATTCGTAGGGAAAGATTTTCTGTGTTCAGACGGCGCATTCCATCTCTTTAATAAACCAATTCCATTCGACCTTTTTAACTTTATGAATTAATTCTTTGCTCTCCCGTCACTCTTTGAAGTGATTTTCAGCTTTAATAATTCGCAGAAACCAGGTTTTACCCTTTCTGTCTCTCGTGGATGCTTATTAGGGGAAAGTTATTAATTCAACTCTGTGAGGCGCTCCCTTTCTTGAAAAACATTGAAAAATTCGAGTGCGTCGATGCTTACTCTTCTTAAATGTAACGCGTCTTTAATTGGATATTCGAAATAATTATATTCTCATATTTTGCGTTGATGAAAAATTAAATGGGTGATTTCCAATGTAGTTTTCTTCAGCTGTTACGCCGAGAAACCCCTGTACATTGAAAACTTTTATTAATCAATTTCTCTTCGTTTTCAGTTTTCACTGGTTTATTTCTCTTTACTCTATACATCTTTTTGATTTTGTTTTGCCTTCCAATTACAAATTGTAAAAAGTCGTAAATAATGTTGTTCAAAGACGCAGTATCATGTAAGGCACAGAAATAACGGCTATTTATGAGGATTAATTTGAAAGGCATTTGTTTCAATGACGTTACAGTGCATCAGGTAAATAGTCTTAATACGAGATTATAAGAAATACTAGAAAAGACGTATTCTTTTTAATATGCAAACCGCGATCAGAAACACAACCCCTATTATTACGGTCCGCACATTTACATTGCAGGTATATCGAAGCACTTCTTTTCGTAAGTTTCGGAAATGTATTTTGATGAATCTTATACTTTTCGCTATTATTAAAAAAATACTAAAATAAATTAAATTTCGCAAATTGCGGTAATATTTTAAAGCGGGTGCATCGTCATATTGCATTTCAACGAGTGCAGGTATTAATATTGTAAATTGATGACGTGTATTCTTTGATATTGAATAATTATGCCAATAACTGAAGGGATAATATTATGTTCCGATCGACTGACAAAAGCGTATTCCGAACTTTAGGCGTATTATCGTATCTACATAAAGGAAGACTTTACTTCTTATAATTACATTAAACTCTCGTTAGCACGAACTCGCTTAATTTCGCCGTAACCCGAACGAATGGAAATATAGTAATAAAGATATTTATAATAATAGGATAACACGAATTTTTACAACACGAACTCCTATTATTGCGGTCCCTTGGAATTCTTACTAACGAGGGTTTACTGTAATGTGAAATAAAAATCGGAGATGTGTTCGTGAAAAAAAATTGATTTTGTGTACTAATACTAATTTTATTTTACAAACAGGGTTCTGCGCTGCGGGGTGTATTGCAAATGCTATTTTACTCTTTTCTGCCAAAATTATAATTATTTTATATATTTATCTTATGGCAAGCGCACAGGAACCATAATACAGCAAATGCAGTCTCACATCATCACAATGTGACACCACAACAGTAAAAGTCTTCAGAGAGGTACAAAAAACGATTAGTCCCTAGAAGCGCACGTCCAACTTCTAAATCCATTCCACCGCCGTCGGTGTCAGAAAATCTGCCGGATCCCCACGGTAGGCTGTGAGTTCACAACTCTCCACTAAGTGAAGCATGGTCTGGTGGCACCACACTTACAGTCTGGTGACGGTACCACGCCCCCATTTGAATAGGGAACACGCACGTCTTCCTTGTCCAGTTCGTATTCGGTTTGCCGTCTTCCGTATATTGCGAGGCATATCAAACCCGAAGGTGTTTAACTTGTTTTGAGAAAATTGTGGATTGTAACAGGTGTATTAGCAATCCTGTATTCCTCCCTTTCTACTCGGATTTGAAAATTGCTTTTGTTTAAGTATGCGGGTGTTTGGGCGGATGGTTTCCGTGATTTCAGTCTATTGAGTGAGGCTACTTGAATGTAATTGTGTATAGGAAGGCTAGTAATAATTATAATATTACTATTATTAGCGTTATCAAGAATTGAATTGAGTTGATGCCTTTTTTCGTGGCGAAACTCGGGCCATCAGGCCCGCTCTTCCGTCTGACCACGCAAATTTCGCTACGCTCCAGTCACCAACTAGCGGAGAAAGAAGGTATTTGTTGGGCGACGTAACAGGCGATATGAACTTAGCTCAGAGGCGCCATATAGTCTTCAGGATCTTTTACATGTATGTAAATCTATAACATGGGACAGACGGCTTTACTTCCCCCCCCCCCAAGGAACGATATTTTTGATCGGGTTTGAACCCGCGAACGTGGTTATAACAGTCCGGTACGCTAACCGTTGCACAATCGCCGCTAAAAATAACAACATTTGCATGTGGTTTTCATCACGCGAGAGGAGACTGTACGCGTGTTTGTGTGTGTGTGTCCGCAGGCGGTGTACTCGCGCGTGGCGCGCGTGTGCAAGTACGACCGCGGAGGCCCGCATCGCTTCCGCAACCGTTGGACCTCCTTCCTCAAGTCGCGCCTCAACTGCTCCGTGCATGGCGACTTCCCCTTCTACTTCAACGAGATACGTGAGTACTGCTCCCGGACGAGGCTAGGGCTCCGCCAAAACCTTCTCGGGCCGTTTCCCTGTAAATGCAGGGCTGGATTTACCTACAAGAAAATTAAGCAATTGTTTTCCCCTGCACAGGGGGCCCGCGCCCTGGAAAAATCATTAAATATTCAAACAAAGTCATATAATATGTTTGTCTCTGTAAAATTAGTTATTACATTAATATAAAATTATTAATAATGTTAATAACTAATATTAAAGAATGTTTAAAATGTATAATAGTCTATATTATTTCGAATCTATAATTTAAACAATTTGCTAAATTTATTAAGTAAATAAATTAATAAAATATCGATTTGTTAATTTTCATATTTGGACAAAATTTATAATATTATTATCAGAGTTTTTCGCACGTCTGAAGGATTTGTGTCTGTGTGTGTACGTGTCTGTGTGTGTGTGTGTGTGCGCGCGTGCGTGCGTGTGTGTGTGTGTTTTCGATTTAAAATTTTTTTTATTGCCAGGTGCGAACATTTTTGGTTATCAGATATTGTGAACAACGCTCGTTGCTTAGGTTAATTCATTTAAGTTAATTTAGGTTAATACAACTCATGTTACGGGGATTGGTACTCCGGGGCTCGAGCAAACGTGCGCACGCGCACAACATACCATTGCGATGTGCGCAGAGTCGACGACGGAGCTGATCGAGGGCTCGTACGGCGAGACGACGGCGCAGCTGGTGTACGGCGTGTTCACGACGCCACCCAACAGCATCAGCGGGTCCGCCGTGTGCGCCTTCGCCCTGCAGGACATCACCGACACCTTCGAGGGCAACTTCAAGGAGCAGGCGCAGCTCAACTCCAACTGGCTGCCCGTGCAGAGCGTGAAGGTGAGACGTCATGCCCCGCGCCACTGCGCACTCGCCGGTCCCAAAGAGTAATCTCCATATTTTCTTCTGTTTCTTCTATGCCTTATCCCAGATAACTGGGGGTATCTAACTGCGTGCGTTCGGCAAAACTCTGGAACCATTTCCCCAACGAAGCTTGTAAATCGGGGCTTTTGAGACCCCCGGAGTGGATTAATGTATAAGCAGGCTAAGCATGAACTTAGGTGCCCCTCCAAAAATTATTACTGATTAATTATTATAATAATATAATAAATTATTAATTATGATTTTAACAGATTTAATTATAATTATATCTGTTAAAATCATAATTTATGTTTGGGATTTTTTAAAGGAGCATGAAATAATACGTAATTTAAAAACTAAAATAGAAGTGATGATGATGATGAGGATGATGATGATGATAATGTTGCATATTTTATAAACTTGCATATTTTTTATATCTGGACAGAGTTCTCTGTTTATAACATAAATACATTATTTTGTATTTACATAACCTTAATTATAACTATTAAAATTAATAATTTATGAATAGAAACTGAATTTCATAATAAAAAAATATTAACAATGCATTTTCAAATGTGACTACTTAGGTTTCTTTACCATTCCCAAATTTTAGATTGATTGTAGTCAATCAGTATTCTAAATCATCTAAATACATTGTGGGTGCCCAGCCTTTGGAGTAATGATGTGAGGTTGGTGCAAGGGCAGTGAAATGACAAGAGGGAAGGGATTGCTTGGAAGGGTGGGCCAGGTTGCGCCACTAGCCATGTCCGTGCCAGCAGGTTCCTGACCCCCGACCGGGCCAGTGTGTCAACGACTCCCGCACTCTGCCTGACCTGACCCTCAACTTTATCAAGACGCACTCGCTCATGGACGAGTCAGTGCCTTCTTTCTTCGGACAGCCCATTGTTATTCGCACCAGTTTTCAGTAAGTGGCAATAAAACCTAGGATGAAATTTAACTGAGTGTGAAACTTATTTGTAAACATACAATTAATTAACTTCTCTTTATGTTCTACATGACCTAGCACCTCATGTATCAAGTGTATTTTAGTTAAATTTCAATTATTTGAACTTGTGTATGCTTAAAGGATTAAGTAGTATATAAGTAGTAGTCTTGTATTCCTTATTGTTAAAATTTGATCACAGTTAATTATTTTGAATATTCTTTTGAGTAGAATTTATGTTAAATGTGTACTAGTTTAAATTTACTGACTATCTCAGTTATCTTTCCCACTAAATTAACATATCACAATTTACATTGAATAAAAAACATTTGAAAAACTCATCATAAAAAAAACAAAGTAATTTTGACATAGGACTAAATGTTATGAACTTGCAGTTACAGATTCACCCAGATAGCAGTAGATCCCCAAATTAAAACACCTGGAGGCAAGCCTTATGACGTTCTCTTCATAGGAACAGGTATGATACATCATTGAAACATTTTCTGACTATATTTGCAATTCTGTGTTTATTTAATGAAACTTATTTTCACTTTATCTTGTATGTATGAAATTAACATTCTTAGATTGATTGAATCTCCAGGGGCAGATATGGAAAGTATTTTGGGAGAGGGGAACCATCTGCCCTTCTAAAAATAATTTTGAAATAATTTATTAATTTTTAGCTTGGAAAGGAAAACAATGTTTATTTATAATGGGAATATTACTAGAATGATGTTAGCAATTTTCTGGTAATTGTTGAAAATTACAAAATAATATTGATTTTAGGAACTAAGCTTCCCCCTCCCCACGTCTTGTATCCTTCACTAGAAGTCTCTCACGAATGAATGTAGAATTTACATCATTATTGTAGTAAAGGGATAAAATAAATGAAAATTGATGTTTTCAGACAATGGCAAAGTCATCAAAGCAGTGAATGCAGATTCTGCTGACAGCAATACTGAAGTGAGTCCCGTTGTTATTGAAGAAATTCAAGTGTTTCCTCCTCATGTAGCAGTACGCAACCTCAAAGTAGTGAGAGATTCTTCATTTGATGATGGACGACTAATTGTCGTGAGCGACAGTGAGGTGCAGTCACTGCGTCTTCATCGCTGTTATAGCGACAAAATTCTTTCTTGCAGGTAAGACTGTAATTAAATGCAACTGAATTTTCTAATAAAACTGAATTGTGTGAATTATATTATTATAATTAATTATTATTTTTCTTGCAAATCTTTTCAATAATACTCATTTTCTCAATACTAAGAAGGTTTCTGAAGGTCTATATTAACAAGTTCTTGCATAATTTATTGTTCCATTTATAAACATAATAATTAATAACTTGCAACATATTTTCATGACCTGCATATATTTCTTTAGTTTCCCAGCTCTTAGTTAATTTTGTAGAATTTATGTAGTGAAATAAAATACATTCTAAACTACTTATAAATAAGTGTGTGAAAGAATATTTGGGATTCCAAGAAAGTTGGTTTTCTCATTCTAAAAACTATTATTGCTGTAAAATTATTTTTTTTTTTTTTAATGAAATTTTAAAAAATAGAAAATCAAGTTAATGAGATGTTACTGTAGCAGTGATGAAGTAAATCAGCAGATTGTTATAAAAGAAAATCATAATAAATCATGCAAATTATTTTAGTAACGATGTTTGGCAGGAGTACAAGGAATTTGAACATGAATTGACAGACTTTTTAAGGAAATTGTTTGTTTTAGTTTTTCTCTGTCTCTAATAGTTTGAACATTGTAGAATTGGACACTATTTTCACATTTGAATTGGTTCGTCCTTTAATTAATGTATATTTTAATTATCATTTAAGAGATGAATTTACCTTTGTCAGCTCAAATATTCTTTCTGCTAAAAAGAAGTGAAACTGAAAAAATACATTTAATGCTCACCGAATCATGACTTCACTTTAATTTATATTCTCAAGTACCTGTTTTCTATTAAACAATTTGCTGAAGTCCATGTAAGTCTTCACAAGTTATTGCACTGAAACTTCACATTAGCATTACATTAAAATTGAGAGATAACACTGCTATTTTTCTTTACTTTGAAATAATTTTAAAATGATTATTTATGTGGAAAAGGAGGTATTTATTGTTCTGTGTTGTTGTTTTTTCCATAGTGAATGTGTTGCACTTCAAGACCCATATTGTGCCTGGGACAAACAGTCCCAAAAGTGTCGCTCTGTAGGTGCTCCTCGATGGAATGATGAGAAGTACTTTTATCAGAGCATTTCCAAAGGAGTCCATTCTGCTTGCCCTGCCAGTATGTAATTTTCTTGCACTTCACCTTGAACCCTCTTGGTAAAATACATTTTTTTGCCATCAGCATTTTTAAACACTTGAAATAGAAATTTTTTATTTTAATTTCCCTTTGATGACTCATCATTTGATATTTTCACGAAATTAACTGTTGAAATAATATTTTCTTTTAATGTTTCCCTCTAAATTAACATTTACTTCACTTACAGGTAAAGTAATGGGTAAAGATGCTGGCAGTGTTGGAGGATTGTCATCAAACTATCCCAAGTCATTTAATCATGACTCTGGTCGTTCAAGCAAAGATATACAGGGTGGAGAAGTCATTAACATTATGCATGATGAAGAAGAACACACAGGTAAGAATTTTAGTTCAGTGTCCAAACTAAACATGCTTATAAGAAACTACAAGTAAATGTTAGAGCACTATTGCTCCCTTCTTGACATGCAGTAATACAGTACATCTCTATTACAAGAGAACCTGCTTATAGTGATAAATACATTACATCCCTGTTATAAAAAAATCCTGGCCATAAGAAACAATATGGGCTATTCCCTGACATGATGTATACAATTTGGGCCTTTCCTTCTAAGTAAGAGACCCACTTCTTAGAGTTTCCCACCTACAGAAGACATAATATTTGTTCCAGAGATCTTTCAGCATTATTTCTTTCCATGAGTAAATGGAAAGAAAATCAAAGTGAGAGAAATCAGAAGTCAAAATGACAAATTTTCCCACATTGCAAGCCACAGTTACAGTGATTGCATAGTTACAGTGATTTTTCCCTGAGGACACTTTACAAGTGAGGCATAAGAAGGTTTCCTCTCTACGAAAATAGGTCCCCTTCCAGAAATAATCTGGGGTCCACTTGTGAAAAATGAAAACCTGCTTCCACTTTCCCAATGAATTGTTCTGTGGAAGACGATAAATCATGAGGTTTCTTGTGTATTATGCTGTGATCATGTTTAAGCGAGCAGGAACTATGTGAGCTGGATAGGTGTAAGGCTCATCATCATTGTTTACTTTAATGAGCTTTTTAGATTCATATTTGTGTTTGCACAATAAAATATTATCCATTTGCATGGAAAGTAATGTCTAAATAGATTTTTTTTTAAATTTCAATTTTGATGGCTCCATAAAGGAAACTAATATCAATATCAAAAAATCTTGGCAACTCATGTCAAGTCAAGAGCAGTAGAAATATAAGATAACCTTAGGTAAAGATGTAATGAACTTACATTAACGTGTTCCTCTTCAAAGGGTTCTTACCTATAAGATACAACAATCCATGTACAGTGAAATTCATATTACGTGACCACTGTTGGTTCCATGCAAAAAGTGGCCTCTTACAGTGGCTTTTGCTTCATGGGGAAATCTTTTTTAAAAAGTGGTCTATTATTACCAGACATTGGATGTTTAGAAAAGCGTCTATTTTATTCTAGTGAATACACATAAAGGCTTTTATTAAATGTGCACAAATTATAAAAAAAGAAACATTTTGATAAAGTTTTCGGTGCCTATTTTGCCACTAATGCCATTTTAGACATGTGCACAATCTTTTTAAATGCATTAAAAAATGTTCATTTAAATCATTTTCAATTTTAGTACTCTTAATAAATGCCTATCTGTAACAAATCTTCATTTTCTTATGTAAACTCAATACGTTATTTGGGAATGTATGACAGACTACACTTGCTTGTTAGGGAGCAAGTTGATAACCGTGACTTCCAACATTCATGACCATGATATGCATGGTTACATTCATGGTCAAGGTCTATTTTTACTTCATTTCTGGAATCCCCCCATCCCCCTATCCCCACCCCTCCAGATATCTTGAGGATTGAAGCTCGAGGATAGGGCATGACACAAATGCTGTTCACAACATTGCTAATTTTCATTTTAACTACTGAAAATTGGGAGTAAAGTATTCTTACAATTGTTCTGAAAGTGGTCCTTTAAAAGGGGGTAGATTAAGAAAAATTGCTATTATGAGGCTGGTTAGTGGCCGGCATGAATGCCATAGGTTGTGGAATGTGGAGTGTTTGGTCTGTTCAAAGAGGTGGGATTTATGTACAATATATGGATTTCGGAGTCTGTTCCAATTAAAATCCGTCTTTGGGATTGGGAGGGGTGGTTGTTGAATAGAGAGGTTTCTCTGTATCTTATAACAGGATTCTAGTTACTTGTTACCACACCAGTCTTCCTTGACTTCTTAAAATCACATTTTTTAAATTATTGTATAGTATTAAGACACAATGGAAATGATAGATCTGCAAGAGTACATGGTTTAATACTTTTGCAGGCCCAGAGGTCAGTGCGGCTGATTCACCAATGCCACAGTATTCTGTGGAGACCTTAGCAATGGCAGTTGTAGCTGGTTCAGTGGCAGCATTGGTTGTTGGCTTTGTCACTGGCTATCTATGTGGTCGCAAATGCCACAAAGAAGAAGAAGACAACCTCCCGTATCCTGACACTGAGTATGAGTATTTTGAACAAAGGCAGACAGTAAACAGGTAAAGGCCTATTCCATTTAAATGAAATGAGTTGTACTTAATTCCCTTTTGCATATTTATTTCTAAATCATGATAATCTTTCAAGTACTTTAGTAACAGCTCCTGTGTGACAGTAATTTTGTTAGTACTGGACAAAGTACTTATTTATTTCAGAGATATTATAGGTAGGGGCTGTATTTAAGCTATTTTCAGTATTTCTTACACTGTCGTTGATTTGTGTAAGTATTGTTATCATTCCGCCTTCTAATTCCATGTCTCTTTTTTTTTTTATCAAGCCGACTGCAACCAGAACCAAAGCTGTTACCACAGGAAGAGGTGACCTACGCAGAACCAGTGTTGGTCCCCGCCCCAGGGCCGAACAAGCTGAACTCCCCCAAGAGCACCCTCCGGAAAGCACACAACGCCAACCACGCCGCCGAGACCCTCTTTCAGTTCTCCGACAACTACACCCCCCCTCCCCGCGACCCGTACGCGCATCAACGAGGCCGAGACAACTTCGGCACCCTACGCTCCCAGCAAGGCGACGGCTACCGCGGCGGCGGCGGTGGTGGCGGAGGCGGCGGCGGCCGCGCCCCCCCGGGCAGCGCCGGCCTCGTGGGCGACGGTTTCGGCACAACGCGGTCCGTCAAGAAGGTGTACCTCTGAGAGGCAGGGGAGGACGGGAGGGGGCACCGCAGCCTGACGCGGCCACGCAACCGGGCTGGGACCGGCGGCGCGAGGCACCGACAGGCGGGGGGCGGCGCTAGCAGCCTGGGGGGCTCGCACCCCCTCGCCACGGCCACGCCCCCCTCCAGCTCGTCCTCGTCGCCCTCGCCCCCTTCCTCCTCCCCTTCCCCCCCACTGGTGGCCATGCATTCCGTGAGCGGAGGGGGCGGCAGCAGCCCGCCCCCTTGCAGCTACATCTACAGGACTTAGCAGCTTCTAGCCTGGTGCTAGGACGAGCCCACTGGCAGATAGAGCCTTTGTCCTTTACTGATCTAAAAAAAATAAAATAAAATTCAATGGAACTTTGTTGCTTTTCTAAAAATAAAATATGCAACCCGTCTGGATATGTCAGTTAATTCATTGTGGGTGCTGAATGGTTTGAAGCTGTGACAACTTATGAGTAACAAGATAACAATGGATTTTACATTGTTGAAAGCGTAGTTTGTCATTAGTTCAACTGTGTTGATGCTAAACGGTGCTAGTTGCATTTTAACAGCACCGGTTGGGACTCTGTTATTTCCTTGTTGGACTTTAACGAGCAGTTCATGGATATCAATTAATTTTGAAGTTGTCACAATTGTAGAATAAGTGCAGTGTAGTGGGGAAGTAAAGTGACAACATTAGGGAAGAAACAACTTTTTTTTTTCTCTTTCAAGGTTTGTGGACTTTAGTTAGCAAATACGTTACATTTGTTAGAATTATAAACATGAAGTGTCATAAGATGGTGATATTTTCAAGAGACTTTCTGAAGCTTCAGAAAATAAGAAGAATGAATATTTGTGAAGCAACCATATTTTGCAAGCCTTGGAATGTTGTGAGTTGTGGTAGCTTCTGCTGCCGTCGTGTCATTTGAATTGGAGAGTGTAACAAGTATATTATGGTTATATGTAGATCATATATCTTCTTATATAATGCTTAAGTCTTCAAGCAAAGCCTCTTCATGTGATTATTTTTAAGAAATGGACACTTGATTATTTTATGTTTCAGTTTTATTAAAAATTATGATAAATTGTGAAAATACTCTTATTTGAATGACCATGTTGTTCTAATGAGTGAGTGTGTGTGTCTGTGGGTATTCTGTGCAGCTTATTTTTGCCATTGTGTACATATTATACATACTGTGGATTTCAGCTGGTTGCCTGTAATCAGCAGGTGAAAGCGGGTTTTCCCATTCATTTAAGAAGATTTCTGGCAGCTAGTAGTGTTAATGAAACGCAAAACTACATTAAGACTGAAAGAAGTCCATGTTCCAGTTTATTACTCATCTTATATCATCACAGTGATTGATATCAATATTTACCATAGTTATAAATTTATTCTGAAAAAAAAACAGTACAAATTCTGCTGAAATATTTATTTTTTATTTTTTTGATTTAATAACAATCCACCTTTCTGAAACTTTGTAGTGTCATGAAATTGGAATACATGTGTTTGAGTAGGAAAGTGAAGTAGGTGAAGTGATAAGTGACTCATTAATTTGTATTTTTCTGTTTTTGATGCTTCAAACCAAAGATTGTTATTGATAACCCCAATTTCAATTAGTATGTGATAGATCTGATCAGCAAGAAGATAGGAAATATTGGAGCATTTTGGTCTGTGCATTTGCCTTGTAAGGAATGCTACGTTAAGCATTCTAAAGGGACAGAAATGTAATTCTAAGAAAGAGGAAGTTATAGATGGAAGAACTCATTTTTCTGGCAACATGTGTACTTTGTGTTCCTGGTAGAATTCAAGTGAAACTGAAGAACTAGTGAATATAACGTTACTATTAATGTGAAAAAGTCAATATACGAATGCTCAGGTGTTTGCAGTAATACTTGAAGAACTGTTTTGTGTTATACTTGAATCAGTATATAGCAGTGATAATTCTTGAAATTATAGGAGATCGTTAAGTATAAGTTATTAATGCAAAATTTAATTATTTTAAAGAAGAGAATCCAATATTTTTCTTCTTTAATATGTTCTAGTCTTATAATGAAATATCATGTTCCAGTCACATTAGTATGCTTAAATATTGTTAAAATTGTGTATTGTGGGCTCCCATTGAGCAAGAAGACTGTCTGCAGACATGAGCTAAAACACTGTGAATTCCACCTTTCACACATTATTTGCAACTCATGATACCAATTTCCCATAAGAAATATGCCATATTGGCCTGATCTAGAAGGACTTTTAATAAATGGTTTGTACAACCATAGAGAATGAGCAGTTCATTAATTCTGCTTACTTGATTACGCATCATGAAATTAAAAAAGGTAAGCATGAACCTTTGCTCAAAATTGATGAAGTTCTAATATTTCCTATATTGTGTATGATGCTGATATGTGTTAATACTCAAATCTTTGTTGATGAAGATCTGACATATTGTATATAAATATACACACTATTTAAATATTTTTAGAATTGTCAAGGATACAGGAAATATTGTATCATTTGATTTCCAATGTTATGAATTATTTTAAGCAGAAGTTTTAAGAAGTAACGTACTGTATAAATAAAAAACATTTTTAAATATTATGCTTCTTCCTAAACGCAGGGCCAGCTAAGCTATTTTGTACTGTATAATATAAATTTTATAATGTGGAGACTGTAGGAGCATCACAAGTATCCATGAACTGTAGACATATGTTTTCCCTAGTTTGCCAACTAATTAGGCAAAGTGTTACTAAGAGTAGACATGTATTTTAACAAAGAGAAGTACTGATGGTAAATTTCCCTCCCCATGTTACAGATTGTATAGTATGTACCATGTGCAATTATTATACATTATTCTAATGTGCATTAATAAGTCTAAAGAAACAGAGTTTTGGGCCGTGTCTCTCTATCATGTCTTGTTATTATCATCAGGTGTATTATTACGGCATGAGTACAAAATTGCCTTTGTTTCCAATATAGTGATCGAGCTATCCTGCCCTTGAAATCAGTCTTTAGGAAGAAACTGCCTTTATTATTAAGCGTAGCAGAGTAATTTTTATATTTCATCAAGAATGTTTAAGTCTCACCATATGCTTTTTGAGAATTGATATCAATTTGCATGGACTAGGCTATATCACATAGCTGAATTAATTCCGAACTGTGATTTCATTCACTCATTCATAAATTCATTGTTTACATTCACAATCACAAGTTCATCCATCCATTCTGCCAATACTGTGTAGGTGGCAGGTCATCAAGACATGCTATTCAGACATGGCAGGGAAGATCATCAACCAAGGTCATCATGCTACTTGTCATGTTTACCAGCACCTCCCTTGCAACATAGAGTAGCAGGTTTGGGAACTATTTTTTTTCCAAAACATTAAATATTCAGAGGAGAGTATATTTACATAATAAATAAAATAATTACGTCTTCAGCAATTATGTACATTAATGTATATTGCCAACTTTAAAACATATTTAAGAGTGAAGTCAATTTTATTTTTGTCATTCATTCACTATATCTTGTTACCTATACATTCTTACGTGTGAATTACGAGGAGCACTTTTTTAGCAAGTTGATGATCTTAATCACCATCTTCTGGCAGTCAGAAACGATATATGATGTAGAAGCGTCCACAGTAGAAACAGAGTAGAATCCAAATTTTTTCCATAGTATGAATCTATACCCAAGTGCATTTGCATGTTCCTGCAATTCATTGGGTGGAGATGAATGAACCAGTCAGCAGATGAGTTGCTGCATCAGATGAATATGTTTTCTTTATTATTGAGAAAAACTTCAAACTGGCACAATATTGAAAACAATACTAGGCCTACCGTGTAGAGTGTATTGTTGATATGCAGGCTTTGAAATTATTTTTCCAGCTTGTTGAGGAAGCTGGTGTTATGTAGCCTCATTGTGGACTTCTGTGCCTGTAGACTACTTGTAAAGAACTTGATCTTTTTTGTATAATATAGTCAACGTAAGTGATCAAGGTAGGCATGGTGTGATAAAATGCATCTTATTATGTATGAAGGCTCATAATTGCAGATCTCATTTACAATTAGATTTTTTTAGAACAATTTATGATGTAGAGAGCTACAATGCCATTTTGTATCTGTGCAAACATTATTCCAGTCCAATTCTTTGCATTGATAGGGTAACTAATTAGAGAAATATACTATTGGCCATTGAAGTTCTTGTATATTTTCTTTCATAATGCCGTGACAGCATTAGTGCCATCTGTTTGTCTATTTTGAACATATGCTGATGTGACTGTACACTTGATCACCCTAGTACCAATATTGATTCTGTTTCAATTAATGTTAATATAAACTATTATATATATATGATATATATATATTAACTGCCTATGTACTTGCAGTGTCATCTGTACAATTTTCTTTTGTAAACATAATGTACTGAACCAATAATTAATAATAAATGAATTTGATTAGGTAAATCAAAATGTATTTCACAAGTACTGATTGAATTCCTAATGAATTATTTTCCAGCTAACAAACATAACATGATATGAGAATTGAATATATACTGTACATTTTCGTTGAAATACTATAGCTAGCAAATGATTATACATAATGACCTAAGATATTGAAATTTCTTGAAAATTGTTTGAGAGAATAATTCAGAAAATATTATTACATCATTTAAGATATAGTATTCCTTGTATTGATATTTATCTGGGTCAATATGTGACATTTTTTATGCACTAAAATATCTTCTATTGCTGTAGTTGTAATGTGCATGTATGTCCGTCCTTGTGTGTAAAGGAGTATGAACAAATTCCAATGTTAATGAATGCAGATGTGAGTTTAATGTTTGCTTGGGTTTAGAATGAACACCATAAGGATGTAGAGCTGAATACTGTATTATTAACAAATTTACTTTTCTGCCTAATATCCTTTCTAATTTTGGCACGATTCAATTTGCAATTAAGATTGACCCCAATTCATAGGAAATGTATAATTAAGGAGAGTTTATAAAATGAAGACATATATGCTAAGAAATATTATG